ACACTAGCCTTGTGCACAAAAGCTCAAGGATACTGCTCAAGCCTTGACTTCAAGCTCTAAGACCAGTACACACACACAAAGAAAAACCTTCTACTTAAAAAATCCCTATTTTTTTTAAAATTGTGACCTGATACTTTAGATTTATCCTTTCAATAAATTTGAGCACAAACCTTCCCACAAGAGGAGTATTTCCCCATATTTAACCATTCACCCAGCTTACTTCAGGTAGAGTCTTAAAATCTTCTTTGCGAAATAAAATAAGACTTTATAAAGTTGACAGGACATTTTCTGTGTTCTCTTTTAAAGTTCTTTTTTTGTCAGTTGTGGGACCTGAACTCTGGGCCTGGGCGCTGTCCCTAAGCTCTTCAGCTCAAGGTGAGCGCTCTACTACTTGAGCCACAGCGTCACTTCCATTTTTTTCTGCTTATGTGGTGCTGAGGAATCAAACGCAGGGCCTCATGCATGCAAGGCAAGCACTCTACCACTGAGCCACCTTCCCAGCTCTGTTAAAGTTCTTCAATAGTAGACTTCTGTGTAACAAATCCCTTGGAGTTTGCCAGCACAGAATCTACCCTGTGTATGAACTATTTCATGTGCGCTTTTCTGCTATCAAGACCTCTGGAAAAAGTGAACAAATAAAGACAAAAGGAATCTGCACAAGGGGACAATCTGTGTGAAATGCGAAGACTCTTCCACCCTAGGAACTACATGATATAGGAGTAGAAACTCTGTCCCCACTAACTGAGGACTGGGGAAAAGGAGGTCCCACTGTAAGGAATTTTTCCCTTTGATATTAAACTGCCATATCTACTTGTTTAGAAAGTAAAGCAATAAGGCAATCATAAATAAAGGACATTGCATAATGAATATTATTCCACTGGAGTTGGTTTGCTCATTGTGTGTGTGTGTATGCATGTATATTGATGACTGTTTCCCACACTTCTATTTTATCAGAGAATTTAGCTAAGGAGAGTTGTAAAGTTAAATGCTGACAAAATCAGAATTTTTATTATTCCTCATCAAATCATCTCACACATGCTAATCAATGCCCAGGAAAAGAAAAACCACTACTCATTCACTATTTGAGAATGTTTCTTCAACTTGCAAAATTCTCACTTGAAAATAGACAAACATGATTTTTTGCAGAATGAATGGGGGAACACTCACTCCATTAAAAGAGAGGGGAGGGGGGAGAACCAGATTTCCTGTAAAAGCCAAAATTGGCGATTTACTCTAAGAAAACACAGCAAAAGCTGGGAAGAAACTTGAGGATACTTCAATTTCCACTGTGGAACAACTCTTACTGCCCAGAAGGGAAGAGGAAACCAAAACACCTGCAACAGGATGGGAGGAGAGAAGACCAGCTAGGTGACACACCCAGAGAGGGCTAGACAGGCAGGTTTCAAGTCCACAGAGAGAGGAGTTATAGGAAAAGACTGTAGACCTTAAGAATACCAAGGAAATTTTTGTTTTGTCACTTGCCACCTCGGAGAAAAATGAGATGGTAGTATTTCTTGGGGAGATTAGACCAGTGGATGTCAGACATGAAAGGATTTAAAGCACCTTTTAGCCAGAGGAAGTATTAGCAGAGTGCTGAAAGTGTCTGCCCTCAATTTTACATCGGGGACTACAAATCACCCTTCATTCATAAAGTGTGCGTTTCCATTAACATCAAAATGACAAGCGTGTTTTGCTGCGCTCAGAGGGATTCGTTTTGAAGTGGATGTTTTAATGAGCAAAGAGGAAAAAGTATAAGCAGTAACTGGAAAAAAATGTAATCACAGAGCTGCCTTTCCTGGTGATTTATACAGCAGGACATGGTTAAAAGGCTCATTCATGTGAGACTATAATGGCAGTAAGGAGAGAGAAGACATTTCAAATGAGGTTTAAATTTAACATGAGCAGGTAAGTGTTGAAAATCTATGGGAAAACCTTCGATTTAGTGCTTCTAAGTTTATTGCTTTTTATCACATACAAGAAAAAGCTTGTATCCATAGGTTTATAGAAGACGGTTGTAATAGGGAAATATTCAACTAAAGACACCTCATTAGGGAACCAATTCAGCCACATTATGGGATGCTAGATTGTACAATAACACACGAGGCTGATCTACATGAGTTTAACAGTTGGAAATAGTGCAGTTGTTGAAAAAGAAAACAAAGGTCTGGATACGATATTCAGTATATTCAACATATTTATCTGTGCGTATACACATATATGTTTCTATATGTGCATTTAATAGGTGTACATACATACATATATATACATATATATATATATATATATGCCTAGAATGTGACTAGAAAAATATGTAAGAAGGGCTGGGAGCAGGCTCAAGTGGTAGAGTACCTGCCCAGCAAGCGTGAGGAACTGAGTTCAAATCCCAGGATGGGGAGGGTGGGCAAATATAGTCATAATACACATGTGAAAACTAAACCAGGTGACTTGAGTGGATGGGTGAAGTCGGCATAGATGGGGGGAGAATAATGGAAGGGGTATCACTGGTCAAGATGCAAGCAGACAAAACTAAAGATAATTTTTTAAAGAACCAATAAAAAGCCTAGTACCGCCTACAAAATTTTTTTAAAGTACTTAAGAAAATGGTCTCTCAAAGGTAGAAAGGAAATACTTTTAATTGCATATCATCTTAAATTATTATTTTAATACCCCTAGAACCTCTATATAGGTGACCTTATAGATAATGTAAGAATTAGAAACACTCATAATTACTATTACAGTACATTTTAATTAACCGTACATTTTAAGAAGGCTTTATAAAAACTATAATAGGATGCAGTCTATTCGTGACCAAATATCATGACAACTGTAGAGAGGCATCTCTCTAGAATTGTCATGGTATTTGGTCATTGTAAAAACTGAACAGAAGTAACTGCTTGTGACAATGAAAGCATGATGTCCTATTGAACAACAAAGGAAAACTTACTTTCTGTTTTCCTAATGGGTCTATGTATCCCAGAGAAACAACTGGGTTGGTGACAGCACATGGAAATGTGCCAGACAAATGTTTGGCCAGACCCAACATCTTCTCAAAAACTATTCATCCACAGAATCAAACCCCAACTTACTTAGTCTACCTACTTTCCTTCCATCCATCTTTCCTCTCTCTCTCTCTCTCACTCTCTCTCCATGTATACATGTATAGAATGTCATCAAGGATAGATATTAAGTTAATATGGTACAATAGAAATATATTTTTCAATGAAAAATGCAGATCTGAATCGACATCCTTTGGAGAGTGGAGGAAAGTGAGGATTTTTCAGCCTATTTGCTGCTCTTGCTACATGCTTTGTATACTGGATCATAAGTGTTGTCTGGTCAGGATCAACAAATTTCATTTCTAACACTGGTGGAATCCTGGGTTTGTGTTTTTTTTTCCCAAAAAGGCCAAGAGGGAATTAATTCATCAGAATTATTTTCTGGGGTCAAAAAAAATATTTTGTCACAAGCATTAAGTGCTCAACTGTGACAATGCTCTTGTCCTTAGCCTACAGTAAGATTCAAAATCTGGTCGATTAAGTTTACTACAATGTTTCCTTCTTGAACCTGAGCCATAGAAAGACAAAGTTCAATCATACACACCCTTAAAACAGTCTATAATGCTAGGCACTAATGGCTCGTGCCTATAATCCTACTACTCAGAAAGCTGAGATCTGAGGATGGAGGTGCGAACCCAGCCTGTGCAGGAAGTCTGGGAGACTCTTATCTCCAATTAGCCACCAGAAAACCAGAAGTGAAGCTGTGGTGCAAAGTTGGAAGAGCACTAGCCTTGAGCAAAAGAAGCTTATGGACAGGATACAGACCCAGAGTTCAAACCTCACTACTGACCAAAAAAAAAGGCCAATTAACAAGAGGCCTATCTAGCGCACACCCTCACTTGGTCACCCAAGGTCACATAATCAAGCTACAGATCATTCAGGAAAAATGAACCAACATCAGTGAGAGTTGGGGGGGGGGGAGAGGGAGAACACTCCTGTATATTCTTATCTGAGTTCATTTAAGTGGCTCCAAAGAGATAACGGAGGTCATTTGTAGCCCATCATAACTGTTTCTATGGAGTCTACAACTAACTCTCAGGAAGAGACTTCTGCTTTAATCTCAAAAGTCTAAAAAGAAGTGTGTATCCTTCTTCCACTTCCCTACAATCCAGAGACCTGATCACTGTTGGTCAAGATGCTTCATTTAAATCTTTCTTACTGGAATATGGAGGGCGTTAGACTAGCCAGTGGAATGGAGCCATATGTGTATAACACAGACACCACCACCACCACCACCCCCAGCCGCTTAAGGCTGGCCCCAGCGGCGCTATACTGCAAGAATGCCAGGCAGGACGCCGCTCAACTCCAACGCCAGTTCTCAGAAAAAACACTTGTCCAGTGGACACACCCGATGGGAAGTCCAGCCCAGAAAACTCCGGCCTTCGTTTCAATAAGCACAGTTCCCAGGAGGGCCAACTATGAACTAACTGCGTGCGTGTCTCTAGCTCTACCTGTCACTGGGACGCTTTTTCCTTTCCCCACTCCCTTCCGGACAGCAGATACCCATCCCCAGAGGCAACTCCTTTCCCCCACCTCCACCCCCTCCAGCACAAGGGGGAAATTAGTATGAAGGGAAAGGCACGGGCTCCTCCCCCTTCCTCCTCCAGAAACCTTTTTTTGCCTCCTCAAATCCCACCCAACAACAGTAGCCCAAGAGTCCTTGTCAAGCCAAGGTCTCCTCCTCCGGGACAGAGAACCCCTTAAGGGTGCAGGCAGGCGTAAAGGTGACTTAGGCAAAGACTGTGCACCTCGGACCTCAGCACCTCTAAAGTGTGACTGTGACACGCGCGCGCACACATACACACCCGGGAGTCTGCCAAGGACCCTTCCCTCTCGGTTGCTCCGGATCTTCATCTCCGGAGAAGGGGAAGGGGAGGCTCACACCCAGGAAAAGTTGACAGCCCCCCCCCCGCGTCCTCTCCCTCCACCACCACTACCACGTACCCTTTTAGCGCATCGTGTCCTCCGCCGCCTCTTCTCTTGGCCCGGCTGGCTCTGGTTTCCTTCACATTCCCAGCCTCCAAGTTGGTGTCCGCCCCGTGGCTCGTGTAGGACGCGAGGAGCACCGTAAATCCCAGGGCGATCTCCAGCAGCGCCCCTCGCCGCATGATGCCGAGCGGCGCCCGCCCGCCCTCCACCGCCTCTGCGCCCCGGCGCGCACCGCGCTGCTGGG